TGGCTGGTGGCACCCTCACCACCACCTCCCCAGCCCACGCTTCTGGGAAGGTGTGGAAACATCCCCAACCCTGCCCACAGATGGATCGGTCACGGGTGGCTGCAAGAGAAGTGACCTCTCCTGGAGACCTCCCCATACGACAGCCAACCCCAGAGACTGTCCCTTGTCACCCTGGCATTATTTTTTTTTTGGTCTGAGACATGGTTTGCACGATGGATAAAAGCCGCCTGCCCTGGCTGCTGGCTTATGCTGCAAACCGAAGGCAGTGGGCGGTGGGCACAGTGTCCTGCCTGGTCCTGCCCACCACATCCCACTGGACCACCCCGGACCAGGGCAATAACCCCACTTCTGCCCCCAAATCCACCTCCTTGCATGCAAAAGCAAATCAAGACAGAGTCCCGTTACTCCAAGCGCTGCTCTCCCACCCAGGGGTGTATCAGGGACTGAAGACAGGGGGTCCCGGAGCGGTGGGATTCCCAAGCCCACCCACACCCACCGTTGGAGTCCAGTGGGATGAGATTGACAGCGTTGAGCACTTCCACGTGGAGTTTCTGCTCCGAAGGACGGTACAGTGCTTTGATCGTCACGGCCCCGTACTTCTCCGAGCTGGTGTCCAGCTGAGCAATGGGGTACAAGAATAAAGGTGCCGCCTTTTGGCACATTCGCGGAGGGGATGCCTGGGGTTCGGTGGAGGCTGAGCGGGCATTTTGGGGTAGCAAGGGTGTGATGGGCATCCTCTGGGATGCAATTGAACCCCCTCCTGCCCACTGCTGGGGCAAAACCAGCCCCAACACCCCCAGAACTGGGAGGGTGGTGGGGAGATCTCACATTTCCACAGGCTGGCTGTGCCGGGCAGCTTTGTGCGTGCAAGGGTGGGATGTGGGAAGGGGCTGGGGGCACCATTTTGACTCCTACCTGTTGCTGGATCCTGTTGCTGAAGTATTTCTGGATGAGTTTGCGGCTGCTGGCAGAGCAGAGGGCCAGGTGGGTCTCCAGTGACTGCGGGAAGGATGAGAGGTGACGGTCAAGCACACGGATGGGTCTGCAGCCCAGGGATGCCTTCCCTGGAGAGTACCCAAAGGAAACCCTTGGGGATTCCTCATCCCCATCACCCCATACCAGGAAGGCTGCAGTGTGGAGGGTCTCCAGTGGCAGCCCACAGCCCTCGGCGTGGAAGCACAGCTCCAGGCTCTGGGGAGGAGGATGTTGTTAGCCGGCAACCAAACACCCATCGCTGCTGAGGACACCCCTGTCCCCCTGCTTTGGTACCTTCAGGGCACAGTGGAGCTTCTTGTAGCGCTGGGCCAAGGGGACCTGCTGCCCTGCGGCTGCTGACAGCACGGCCAAGGTGTGATGCCAGAGGAGAGTGAGGAGGCTGCAGAGGCGAGGGAGGAAGGCTGTGAGCAGGGGTCTGGTGGGGGTGGGTTGGTCCTCGGCCAAGGGACTTTGCAAAGGCCAGGAGGGAACTGGCTCATCCTGCTGGGCTCGGCAGCCAGCCCTAAAGCAGGATGTCCCCAAGCCCCATGGGACTAGGTGGGGGGACACTCCCACCGAGGGACGGTGACACTGCTGGCCTCTGCCATGGTGCATGCCCAGTGCCCTGGTCACCTTTTGAAGTTCTCTTGGACCAGATGCTCATTGAGATACTGCAGCTCCGACTCCAGGAACTTCATGAGCGGGATGATGGACTGCAGCGAGAGGAGAGGGGCATTGGGGAGGGCACAGCAGGGAGAGGGGCAGAGCACTGCTGGCTGGAGCCAGTAGGGCAGGGGGGTGCTCCAGAGGGGCTCCCTCCCACAGCCAGGACGTGGGCAGGCTGTGCCTGGTCCGGTCCTGCTGCCAACACAGGCATCAAACGAAGCATATGGAGGTCTGGGCCCCACAGCTGGGGTGTCCTGTGCCCCAGGCCTGGGGCAGGGTGAGGTGGGGAAGGGTGATGGGGGCCTCCTCTGAGTAGGTAAGGGTTATTCATAGCCGCCCAAAAAAGATGGTCCAGGAGGGACCGGGCCAGGTACTTACGTCCTCGGGCTCCCGGGTGTCATTGGAAGATGAGAGCTCCTGGATGTGTCTGGCGATGCCCTTTTCCAGCTGCCAGGGAGAAATGCATGGAGATACTCGGGCTTTGCCCTCTGCACCAACCTCCCCATGCCCGGATCCACCTTGTCTCCATCCCACAGGGTGCCAGGTCCCCCTTGGGTGAAACCTCCCCACTTTGGGCCAGTTAATGGCCAAGGAGCATCAGTGGCAGGTGGTCACCTTGGTGGCCAGGGCTTGTACCACGTCCCGGACCTCATGGTCCAGGCAGGAGACGGTGCTGTCGAGCTGGTTGTGCAGCGTGTGCTGGATCTGCTGCCGGTCGATGATGGCCTCTGTGCGCTGCTCCAGCTGGGCCCAGTCCAGCTGTGACGGCAGCTTCAGGATCAGCAGCCGCAGCTGCTTGATGTTGTTCACCACGATGCAGAGCTGGGGGAGGTGGGTCTGCTTCAGGGTGTCCCACACACCCTGGTTCATCTCCTGCTGGCTCCATCCCCATCCCCAGTTCTAGCTCCATCACTATCTCCATCTCCACCCTCATCCCCATCCTCATCCCATCCCCATTCCCATCTCCATCCCCATCCTGCTCCCTCTTCTCACACTATTTCCCTCCTGATTTTCCAGGATTATAGCTATCGGAGGCCAACTGATCCCCCTGAAACCCAAACCCAGGATGCTGGCTGGGTGCTCAGCGCCTCATTTCCCTCTTTGCCCAGAAACCACGGCCAAATCCTGCCTCTCCCTCACCGGTCGACCCTGCCCCAATACCAACCCTGTTGGCCGCTTCGCCCTCGTTCTGCTTGCTGAGCGACAGAGCCTCAGCCCTCTCCTTGACGAGCCGGCAGTACATCAGGGCGATTTTGCACATGTCCTGCAGGATAGAGAAGCAGCCAAACGGGACTGAGCTGGGCAGCACAGGGACCACCATGGGGCCAGGGGACCCCGCCACATCAGTGTGGGATACTGGCTCCATTCATGGAGACACATCTCCACGAGCAGGTGCGGAAGCTCCGGCTGCTGATGCCCATAAGCATGGCATCTGCCGACAGGATCCAGCGTACAAACCTCCACGAGCTTCACCATGATCATGAAGGCTTCCTCGGGGTCTGGCCAGTTGAGCTGCTGCCAGGTCTTCACGATCTGGGCGTAGCAGGTGGACAGGTCAACGGTGGACGTGCTGTGCTTGTTGTGCTCCCCGAAGGGTGTCAGCTGAGAGGGAAGAGGAGGTAAATGCAACTTTTCTTGTACGGAAAGAAGCCAGACAGGAGAGATGCTCCTTTACTTTGGGGCTCTCTGGCCCATCATCAGCTCCATAAATCCCAATGTCATCACCCAGTCACTTTGGAGAGTGGAGGAGATGAGGATGGATGGAGCAGCCTGAGCTCCCTGCATCAGGCTGTCCTCCATCGTATTCCAACCCAGCATTGTCGGACTACACTGAAGAGGAGGGCAAGGAGCCCACGGCCCCATGGCTGCCTTCCCTCCCCTCTTCCTGAAGGTCAGAAGTGAAGGGGATGCTCACAGCATGGCCCAAAGCAGGTCCATCAGCGCACGCAGGCTGCCAGGGAGCAGCGAGGGAAGGGGCACGGGGGTGGGGTGTGGGGCCAGGGTGGGATCAACTGGTCCAGGACACCACATCCTTTGTGATGCATTTGGGAGAAGAACCAGCCTGCTCCTGGGCTGCAAGAAGCACCTATGTGGTGGTCTCGATGCTGTGAGCCAGGCAGAGCAGCAAGGCGTGGAGGGAGCTGGAGTGTCCCCAAAGGGTGGAGGGAGATGTTCTCCTCTCCAGGTTACCTGATCCATCTGGACGGCTCTCTGTGCCCTCTCCAGTGCGATGGTGTAGGCCTTCTGCAGCCACTGGGGCACAGCTTCCTTGAACCACTGGTGGAAATGGCACAGAGCCAGAGGTCCATCCCTGTGGATGAAGGCACCAGCTTCTCCAACCGCATGGTAAGAGCACGGGGCCATCATCCCTCCCTCCTTGCTCTCACATACAAGAAACTGCCCAAGGTGGAGGTAGCACGTAGCAACGTGCTAAGGAGAAACCTCCACTTGTCTGGAAGTTGAGGTCTCCTTCAACCCCACTCAGAGACGAGCCTGTAACACTTCTGGTGATGCTCACGCTGACAGCAGACACCAACAGTTCTGCCATGTGTGTAATCAGTGATGCAGGTGAATGGGAAGGATTTGGAGTTCCTCTCAATTAACCGCTCATCCCCTTGCTTTGGCATCTCCCCTCTCTCTGGGCTGGCTACCTCTTTGGGAGGAAGTCCTTCATCCGATAGAGCTCCTGCAGGTTCATGTAGAGCTGGAAAAGGCTCTCGGCCGTGGGCTTGGACATGCTGCTGTCCACCTTGCGCAGCTGCTCCTGGACATGCTCTGCGACCTGGCAGTGAGCAAGGGAAGGGGGGGGACAGCCGTTAGTGAGGGTCCGGCCGGGAAGGGTTGGTCTGCTAGGGGCTCTCTGGAGCCACGGGGTGAGGGTCAGCTCAGGGGACTCCTCTTCCTTTTTGGTGGCATTTCAGGAGATTCATTGGGTCAGGTAAGCAGATGATAGTGACTTTATGGGTACGCAGGGAAAGATTTGCTCCCTGGCTTGCTCCCTTTCCACCAGAAGGGTGGCCAAAAACCTCAGCCTGGCTTTAGACCTTAGTCCCACAAGCGCAGAGCAGCCCAGGTTGCTCACCAGGCTCTCCAGCTCCAGGTAAGCGATGGAGAAGAGATTCAACTTCAAGGCGCTGCGAGAGAGAAACGGGGAGTCAGGAGCCTGCCAGCCCCAGGCCAGCAAACCCTCCCAGGCCATGCCCTTGCCCTAAGGGCGAGGACAGTGCAGCTCTAAGAGGCAGAGGTGGGACCACAGATGCCATCTGTGGAGCCCAAGAGCCCAGGAGCGAGGCATCAAACTGCCCTGTTGCTCTTGACCCCGGGGAAGGTGGATGAGAGGAAATCAAGCTCCGAAACCTACTTGATGAAGAATTTATTCCAGATTTTCTGGCACTCCTGGAGATCTCCTATCACCTCCAGGAGGAGTCTAGACAAGGCTTTGCCATTCTCCTCCATGCTCTGCAACAGAAGGAACAGCTTGGTTTGGATGCTTGGTGATTTTGAGATGACCGGAGCTCCATTCTGTTCTGAATTATTTCTATGATTTGTTCTGGTGGGGTAGCAATCGACCATTAGATCCACCTTAGGAGCACCAAAGAGTTGTCGGTAACATCCATTGTCAGCCTGTGCTTGCGTGGCTGGGCTGGGGACCACCTCCTGTTCTCCTGAGCATTGCACCAAGGCCTTAAGCTTCGATGCACCTCAGTAGCTGCAGGTAACGCAGCTCATGGTATTTTTAAGCTGGAAACCCAAATGCCTTGGCTGTATCAGAAAACTGGAGCAGCCTCATCTCAGCCTTGTCTGCGCACTCCCTCGGACCTCCCACCCCAAGCCCAGCAAATTGCTTCTAATAACGTCAGAGAGGGGGAGATGGGAACTGACCTTCACCATGGGCTTGAGGTGCTGCTTCTTCATGTGAAACCACTCCGTCGTGCCTGACTGCAAGATAGGAGTCCTGGTGTGATGGCAGGGAAGCAGGAGGAGCAAAGCCAGCTCTGTCACCCCCTTCACTCTCCCTGTCCCCCAGGTGTGGTCAGGACTCAGGTCCATGGGGTGGGAACCACAGGCTGGGACCACCAGACTGAAGAGGACCAGGTATTTCCCCCCCTCCATGGTGGTCAATGTGGCTTTGCTGAAGAGTTGGCACTGGGCAGGGGATGGATGGGAAGGGAGACCCATAGGGTCCCACCTCCCCGGGGCTGGGAAGGGTGAGACCCCTGGTCCCACTACCTTCAGCGCCGTGGAGACCATCCCGGGGAGGTCGGGGCTGAGCGTGCACAGCTCGTGGAAAGCTTTCATTTTGCACATCTGGACCAGGACCCTGCAAAGCAAAGACCCTCGCGTGAAACCCCTCACCTGCCCATCAGAAACAACCGCCTCTCCCCCCAGAGACCCTACCCAAACAGACCTTCCCCTCCCAACAACATCCCCCATGGGGAGCCCAGGATGAAGGACAAGGACAGGACAAGTGTCACAGCAGCCTAGAAAGGGGCAGAAAGGGCTCATGCAGGTTTTCACTCAAGTTTACGGGCTTGTCCATCGTGGTGGCCAAGCCATACAACCTCATGTGCAGCTGGCACCGGTGCTGGACGACTCACCGGAGCAGGGACTGGAGCCTCTCCTTGGACCTTGGGACAGAGAGGGGGAAAATGATGCGGTACCTCCGGATGAGGGAGACGCCGTAAGTCAGCAGGGACTGGAAGGACTCGGCCAGCTCTGCTTTCTGGGGAGAAGGAAGGAAACACGCACTGGTTTTCTCAGCGGCAGACAGAGATGTCAGCAGGACCACGGCACCGCGGTGGAGGGAGCTGGTGGCTCCCATCCTTTCTAGCCTGCTCCAGAGATGGGAAAACCCCCTGATGCTTTGGGGAACTTCTCCCTGGAGAGGCTGAACTGAGCTTTGTGCTTAAACCTCATTGCTATGCATGAAAAATTTGGAGTCTCAGCAGGGTGCTGGGATGTCCTGGGAAAACAGGCAGGGAAAAGTAGGAATTGGGTCATATTTAAGTATTGCAGGGGGTTGTGATTGACTTGACGGAAGCAGTGGAGGAGGGGGATGTCAGTGCAAAGGGTAAGGACATCTCCGCGGAGAGGGGAAACAAACCCCCGGGGCAAAGGAGCTCCCTGATCTGCAGGTTGTCCTGGTCTCCATGGCTGGTTCTCCCCAGAAATACCCCCCAGTCACCCCAGTAACTCCTGTACCCCACAAGCTCCTGCCCTTCCTGGAACACAGGGTGGGAAACAGCCCTGGGAGCTGGGAGGAGAGGCCTGGGGTTGGGTGCATGGGGCACATTTCCCTGATCTCTGCCCCCCGCATGGTGCCGGAGCCCCCTCACCTGCTCTGGCCTCAGGCGCTCCTGCACCCACTGGTACTCGATGCTGGTGATCTGGTGGAGCAGGCAGTTGCTGTTGAACTCCAGGCTCTGGTAGAGTTTGCTGTACGCCAGCCACTGCCTGGGGAGGATGGAGAGGCTGGGCTGAGCCCCCGAGGGCTGGGGGGCACCCAGGGCCCAGCATGGGGCTCTCCCACCCACGGCTACAGCTGGGATGGCAGGGGTAGGACCCAGATCTCCTGGTGCTGCTCGGGGCAGGGGGCAATACCAGCCAGGCTGAGCTCATGAGAGAGACCGGCTGTGGTCCGACAGCCCCAGGGATGGCATCGGGGCCCCTGACCCCCACCCCGATGGTGCAGCGCGGCTCCCCGGGCGTGGGGTACTCACGCCATGACTTGGTGGAAGTCGGAGAGATCCTTCTGCGTGGCGTGCAGGTATAGCACGGTGCTGGCGTGCCTGCTCAGCTCCCCATCCCAGGCGATGCTGCCAGCCTGCGAGGAGGCAAAAGGAGGGTGATGTGTCCTGGAGCAAACTGGGCTGAGTGGGGAGGGGGAACAGGCATCAGGGTGGGGTGTGTTTGCAGGACCATGGGAGGGATGGGTGTCCCATAAGGATGCCAGGCATGGGCACGCATCATCATCACCCTCCTCCTCATCACATCGCAGCAACGTTTTAGGCGTGATGGGCTCCAAAGGAAGCCCTGAGCCCAGCCCAGGTGCTGGGGGGCTGCTTCTCCCCCTCGGTACCTGGTGCTGCAGGATCTCATAGGACACCAGCTGCTGCAGGAGGTGCCGATGGACAGTGTAGCTCGGCTGCGTCCGGCTGCTCTTGGTGGCCCTCTGAAAAGAGACAAGGCATAAAAGCGATAACCATAACTTGCCTGAACATGCAGGGACACAGCCAGAGAGTGGGGACAGAGGAAACCGAAAATCACGGGGCCAGAGAGCCCCGTTTGAAGCAAAGCCAAGGGGTGCGGGTGCAGTTTCACCAGAAGCAAGGTCCCCGTGGAGCTCAGGGGAGGGTTGAGCTGGTTTCCAGCACATGCAGACCCTGGTGCTGGCACCTCTGGTCCTGGGGCAGGGATCTGTCACCCCAAAATAGGCCGAAAGGGAC